GTGATAATGAACTTTCGAGAAGTCTGTCCAATATCGAACTCCATTTTCTAGACATTCAACAATGTCTTTATCTTGAATTTCACTCCTAGAACCATTCTTCCCACTATCAAAACTTGCATTACCCACGTCTTCATCTTCCAAGTACAAACTTTCTAAGAACAAGTTCTTTTTCAAAGGCTCAGATGCACAAGTCGTGACACCACCAGTCCTACACATTGATCTGGAGACATTTAATTCATATAAATGCCAAATCAGATGGCAAAAGGAATGTTGTCTCTACATGCCACTTAACTACAAAGCACAATTAGCACATCCAAAGCTTAAGAAAAGCAGCAATTATGTCTTAAATTGAGCATTTTACAGAGTATACAGAAGAATGAACATGAAAATACTTAACCAATATTCGACAAAGAGATCTAACATCCATCTAGAGTCATCAAAGATTATTTACAATTAGGTAATGCAAACTGCAAAGTTCCATGTCATTTTCTTTTAAATTCTGTCTTTTAGTTCTTAACATACTGCCAAAAATCCAAAAGTTAACAAAGTCCAAGATAGCATGAGATTGCTAACTGCCTCCTACAAAGAAAGAGATGAAAATGCAATAAAACTGCAAGCTACATATAAGCAAGTTTCCTCCAAGCTCACTTTTCCTTGCGAGCTTTGCAACCGACTGAAAGGAAGCAAATGATTGCTTCAGAAAAAAGATTCTTAAATTAATTTGTAAACAATTCAATAAAGCCAACAGCTCTCTGTGTAAAATTAAAAATAATAATAATAATAATAATAAAATAGCTAGATACAAAGTGGAAAATGTTCCCCATAGCCCTAGAAATAAGGGTTCCTCACTTCAATTTTGCACTTTGTTCCCTCACTTCAAAGGTTCAAAGCATACCATTATAAGCTATAGTGGCCCATACATTGGGAAAGTACAGATAAAAAGTTGGAGGCCACAATAAGAATTGATTATTGCACTGATTGAAATTTAAGTATTCCACTGATACTTATAGGAAAAAAATGGTAGAATAAAATGCTTATCTGAAAGGAAGAAGAAAAAAAGAAGAAGAAGCATACCCATGTATCATAAGTAAAAGTACATGGAGTTCAGCTCATTAAAGTTGCACCCGGAGAAATAATGAAATAAGAAGAATATGAAAAACAAAAATTAGAAAGAAACTGATATTATGATTGCAAATCAAGGTAACAAGTGTAAGCTTAATAATCAACACTAAAGGGAACACAATCATAACCCCAACTCAAAAACTATGAGTCTATGACATTTTGAGCGTCAATATGACCGAGTCGTCAATCCTTGAATTACTTCATAACATACTTCTAAAGGAAATGACTATCATCAATTGTAAAAACAAAATAAATAAATAAAGTCTTACCATGTTGAAACACCGCCTGGTGGGGCTGGGGCTTCATTGTATAAAGTTCCTTGCGAGCTCACAGACCCTAGGGATCCTGATAAAAGTATATACATCAATACATAATTTTGATAGAAGAAAAACATTATCGCTTGTCCTTCCATTAGGGTAATCACTATATATATGTGTGTGTGTGTGTGAGCATGACAACAGCATATGCCAATCAGACTGAAGATCACGTCTTATTATTCACCAACTTCCTGGAGAGCCTTACAATCCTTTCAGAACACCAAATCCCTCCCCAAAAAGGTAAAATCTCATAGAAATAATATCCAATTTATCTTTTCGGTTCAAGCTTAGTAGATGAGAGCAACAAAGGTGACTCAACTAATTATTAAAAATGAAACCAATAATTAACTTTTGAAGTTAATACCCAGAACATAAGTAAAGAAGCAACCATATATTCCACAAAGAACTATTATATAAAAAATAAAAATAAAAATAAAACAAGTACAGTGCTAAAAGTACACCAGTAGAACTAACTCTACTCCTTTCCCATAATTCCTTCCCCCCTCCTCCCTTTCTGATAATTCATAGCAACAGCCTCCAAAGTTGTTCGTTTAATTTTAGTTTGACCTCAGCTAAATGCCTTATTTGCTTCATCACTACTTACTCAGTTGGGTAGATCTCACGCATCTCATTTTCTTAAATTATTATAGATCTTCAATTCCAATAAATAGTCATGATTGGTACTCAAGACTGTAAAGCAGCCGTCCATCACAGAATTAAAGATTGACTCAATACCAATAAATTCATTTGATATATATTTACGTTTTCTTTAGCATGGTTTGAGTCACTGGTATCTTTTTCATCGCAGTTTAATGATTTTTTCACTGACTTTGTGTTGATAAACTGATCAAGATATTAACAGTATCAATACTTCCATTAAAATGTAAGTGAAATCATAAGCCATAAAAGAAGGTTGTTATGGTGGATCAGCATTAAAATTTTCATACCTTGAAAATCAACAGAAACCAATCGAGGAGTGTATGTAGGAATACCCTGAACATGATAAACACCCAATAAACAAAAAGATTATCACCATTTGCACTTGAAATTAAAGGTGAAGGAAGATCAAGCAAGTCATAGTAAATTCAGAAACAGCAAAGGAAGAAGGAACGTGTCAACTATCCTGCTGAGTTCAATTGCAAATGAATTTACCTGGTGAGTTTCACCACTTCGGTAGAGGACATTCATGTCGAGGTTGTGATTTTTAAATATTTCATCACACTCAGGATTGTCAGCCAACCCAAGCAATTCATCCTTCAACATTTAAAACAAGAAATATCATTCACCAATGAAATGGAAGAGGAATAGATACAAAATCGCTGAACCTCATACAGGTTCTAATAGTCCCCCAAAGAAAAAAAAATGAAATCAGATATTATTCGAAAATCATTAAGTCCGATACACAAAAATAGTTGAGTGTTCAATTACTAGTACATTCCTCAGCCATAATTTAAAAATCACAAAAACCCTTCTAAAATGGCTATTATCTTCTTCATTTGCCTACTTGTTCATAAATTTTGTAGCTTTATTAAAACTACCCACTATAATTAAAAAAAAATAAAAAAAATACAACTTTCTTAGCCACGGCTCGAAAAAACGGGAGGCATAAATTAATATTGACTGCAATAAACAAATGTATATTTTTCGCACCTGGAAATTCCAAAAGTGAGAGCCAATGAAGTTTGCATAGCTTCCAACTTGGACTGTCGCGATTTCCCTCATTCTTGCTTAGAACAAAAACGGGAACAAAATTAAACACAATAATGAATTAAGCCTTCTTATTAAACCGAGAATGGATGATATTTTAAGCTTTATCGAGCTAAATTATAACCAAACCAATTATTCCAATAAACATGCAGAATGCAATTTATCCTGAGGATGAAGGGTTTAAGGGCAATTATTTTGCTGAACTGAAGTTTTGAAGAACACAGTAGCTATATATGTGCATATACACGGTGTTTAATTTAGAATACTAAATTAAAGTGAAATATGTGATTATGTAATAAGGTAAAGTTTTTAATTTAAGTATAATATTATTTTAATAAAAAATGTGTGATTAAAAAGAAGAGAAAAAATATATTTTAAAAAAATAGTTACCAAACGGAGCCATAATCTATGCATGTAATGGGTGTGCGCGTATGAGGTGGGGTGGGGGGCAAGTTCGTGGAAAGTTAGAAACGGTGGATAGGTTATAATTTTACAGAAAAATGGTTCCAAACTTTCGTCCAAATTGTGATTTAATTTCAAGGGGCAATTTCATCAAATGACCTTTTCCACTCAAAAAGCCAAAATAATAATAATAATAATAATAATAGTCATCTTCTTCCTCCAAGGCCACCTTGCTGCCCACGATCAAACCACACCTAATCAATAATAAAGCATTTTTGGTGGTGAAGAATCAAGATAATTCTCTTTACTTTCTTGAATTTGAGCATCAGCATTCACAAATCCAATTAATTTTATGGGTTTTGGGATCGTTTGCACAAATTTCTCTAATTTTATTCAGCCCCTTTTTGGCTTCAATAATTTTTATTTCATCTTTCACTCTTATTTTTAACTACACAATTTTTTATAAAATAATATTACATGTAAATCGAAAATTATTACTTCTTTTTCAACCATTTATTTTTCAAAAAAAAATTATTCTATCCATTTTAAATTTTAAAAATGAGGGCCAAATGGGGGTTGAATGAAATTTTGCAGTTTTTAAAATAATTTGATATTAGTATAAACAAATTATTGAACAACATCTTTTGTTCAGAATTTTTGTTGTTTCTTTTAATCTCCAAAAAGTACACTAAAGTCAAATCAGGTTGCATAATGCGTATGCCATGTTTCATAAAAATTATTAATGATTTAATTTTTAAATTCAATCAAATTTAAACATTAAATCTCAATTATGCATCAATAATTATTATCTATTTGCTATTCATACATTTCGTAGTATCCAGTTCTATTTCTTTTACGAAGTTGATAATAATTTTAGACGATAAGAAGCATTAGGGAAAATTGCAACAATTGTCCCGAACTAGTTAATTAATAGCACCTGCATCCTTAGTCTACCCCCTTTTTTTTTTTGGCATTTTTCCTCCTTTTCTTGCTAAATGTTCTGTTATTTGCTAGTGCTTAAAGTTTGTCAAGTGACAAAGAATTTCGTACTAACTTTTTCACCACTCATTTCTAACTGTTTATAATTAACACTGTTTATAAATAACTTTCGAAGTAACTCCATTCAAGTTACAACCAACGTCAAGTCATATAGCCCTCAATTTGCGTCAAATCGACCACATGTTGAGTCCAGATCAAACCCACATGAAAACGTGCAAGTAAATATTGACAATAACACAATAATGAAAAAAAAAAAAAAAAAAAAAAAAAATTTTTTTTTTTTTTTAAAAAAAAAAAAAAAGAAAAAAAAAAAAAAAGAAAAAAAAAAAAAAAGAAAAAAAAAAAAAAAGAAAAAAAAAAAAAAAGAAAAAAAAAAAAAAAGAAAAAAAAAAAAAAAGAAAAAAAAAAAAAAAGAAAAAAAAAAAAAAAGAAAAAAAAAAAAAAAAAAAAAAAAAAAAAAGAACACTTTATGTAAATGAAAATATGTAGTATGAAGATTGTTTCCCTTCCACTTGAAGAATGAATTGGTACAAGTCAACTCATCCCCCTAATCTGAACATAAACTACAAAATTCTCCTCAGGAGATGATTCAATATTTAATATATCCTCCAGAATTCTGATTGTTAAATACACCAAGTGCTCTATACAAAGTCCCACTCTTTCACTTTCAACGTCTCTTGAGAGCGTGTTACAGTCGCTGGGGAGGATCGAACGATAGGATTGATTGCAAGATTTGCACTCCTTAAAAAATTATCTCCTTCAAGATCAAAAGAACAAGCATAATGAAGCACATGATTACGAGCACTGTGGCACACATAACCATACCACCTTGTTTCTGAGTTCTCTCCGCCTGCAATTCCGACATATATTAATTGAAAGATGAACCAAAATGTGGGAATAGAAAGTGTTCATGATGAAGCTCGAGAAGGTAAGAGGAAGAATGAACCTTTTGCAACTGTTTCAGGCCCTCGTCTACAGATGCCGCCACATTCGTTATATTGTAATCTATCCTGTCAACAATAGTGCCCTGTTTGGAGACATGTATCAATTAATATCAATTGTAAATTTAGTTTATACACGGCTACAGGTGAGGACGTATAGCTTCTAACCTGATCAATCACCAGGACTGACAAATCCTTCATTATTTGGGCAAGATCATTGACTGATTCAACGACCTACCAGAACCCACAACAATACACCAAATGACAACTAGTGTCTGAGAGAAATAAATAATCAAGCAACAAACCTGGAACTCTCAACTTACCTGTTGGATTTCTCTCTCCCTTTCTACAGTGAGTGCCTCGCTTTTCTTTAGCTTGGTCATTTGATGTTCACTGAATCCCTAAATCGTTATAGATTCAATACAAATGAAGTTAAAGCATGCATCAGAGATAGATGTGGATGATTGTAGAGTCAAATAAATTTTGGCATCTATAGATAAATACGTGTGTTGGAACTAGATCACGATCAAAGGGTTCCATTTCAATCAAAGATTAGACTACGGAGGAATAAAACATCCAATCATCATACTCGTTGCCAAGAACAACTAAGGTCAAAATGAACATTTACTTCTGTTGGTGCATCCTTATGCAGAAATCGAAAGTTCTTTCAAGCTAAATAGTTGACACAAACATGGTTAAGACTTAAGTTACTTCTTTTGTACACTTTGGCGTTAAATATTAAATAAGTGGCTGTTTCATTAATACTCTCTATCTTTATAATTTCACAGGAAAGCAACCAGCACATACTAAAAGCTTTACTTAAGAGTACTCTGTTCAAGTCTGGAGTCCTTTCCTATGGTATCCCATCGTTCAAGAAATACTCTTGTAGTATGAGGGTGGTGCCAGAAAAGGAATAAAGTGGAGCCATCATATAAAACATTAGAGCCTGTTTGGTTTGGATTAAAATCTGCTAAGTCAAATAATCAATATTAACCACATCTTTCATAGGTCCCACAACTATTCAACCACACATTTCAAAAACTTCTATCATAATCTACTAAAAAATTCTAATTTTAATCCCCACCAAACATCCTCTCTACCTCGTCATCTATGCATGAAAATAATAAATTGAAGAAAAAAATTACGTCTTAACATAAATGAAGGTGAATGAGTATACCATGTCATCAAAATCATCCTCCTCTCTTCTAGAATTGCTTCCATTGAAGTTCATTTCCAAGTCAACCCCATCTGGGCCCTATATAAAGCAGATAGAAGTTGAGGAACTCTGGAGAAATAGAGTTTCCTGACTGTAAAATATTGATGTAAAATAACTTATTGAGCATTCGGCAGGAGAAACCATCAGAAAACCATTTCCAATGACAAAAAAGAAGTTTAGTAGATCCGTGAAATGAGAACTGCAAGACACTTAAATTCGTTAAAACAAATAACCCAATGAATTTTAGCACATACCTCTTTTTGCTGCCGAAGTCGCTGTAAATATGCAGATTGCTTTCGACGTAGCTCCATTGAAAGAGTCTGAAGGTCGGTGGCTAGAGAGCGCTGCCATAAATATAAAATACAGTAAGCACAACAAATCCAAAACAAACTCTGAAACAATGTGAGAAATGATCAATATTTTTTCAGTGGAAAGAAGAGACAACTGAAACAAACAGTGAAACATGAGCAATATTACATTGTCAACAAGAGTGGTACTTTATAAATGACAATACCAGTGACAGCATAGTTATGCAAAACAGTAACTCGTATCCAAATTCAACACCAAGTCAAAATGAACTTCACGGCATTTTATCCCCCCACCGCATAGTAAAAAGTGTTTATAACATATAACCTTATCAGTGCTGATAAAATTGCACTGAGAGTCCAAGAATATACTGTTTCTTTGGTTGAATCATCAATTAAATTGATCAAATGTACCAATTTACAGGATTCAAAGAGCAACTAATAATCAGATTTTACCTGCACATTTTTCCTGATGTTTGAATCCTCTGAAGGCCCACCAGCAGAGAGTATTTGTAACCTTTTTTCTGATTTTTTCAAAAGACCAGTTATCTCCTGTGTAAGAGATTCAATCTGGCGTTGATCTTCTTTACCATCTCCAAATGAGGGCATTAAAGCTTTGGCATGAGCCTTCGCTAGCTCAGCCATTTTTACCCGCACTTGTTGCACATTAGATGCAATTTCTTCAGATACATCCACCCAAGCTGGTGGTAGACCTACAGCAACTGTACCCCTATTGTAGTAGAACAATTAATTTAAGTCTGAGGTTTAACAATATGTTAGGGGGTTGAGGCGGTAGGAACTTGAAACTGAAACTAAAAATCTCTTTCATTTGCAAAACAGCATTTTCACACATCCTCATATCATGAAATTTGAGAAACCAGGTTTCCATGTAAATATATAGATTTTTAAAACTAAAAATGACAACTAGTAAAAGCCAAAAGGTTCATGTTCCTTCTATTAGCTAATGGTAGGAGTTTTCAAGCAATGGATTCCACAGTACTTGTTACATCGAAGGAGGAATACATAGAATGCATACAAGAAAAGCAATGGGTGAGAAAACAGACACGCAGAGATGCCTAGTTGGCTAGTTAGTTGAAAGTAGACTGAAGAAAGTTCATTTGAATTGGACTTGAGAACAAACAAATAGGTGGAGGAAGTAATATGATCTCATATTTCTCAACTCCGTTGTTGTAAAATACAATTTTTTTTTTTTTTTTGCCCAAGGATTTGGTGCAACTTTATTTAAGAGGCTTTAGATATTTTGTAGGTTTCATATCTTCAGTTTTACATGGCAGAAATATCCATGGTGCTACATTAACAAAACTAACTCTCACAGGACTTATAGAGAAGAAAAAAATTTAAACTTCATTGTTTTACATTGTTTCTTCACCTTTAGAGTCCAAAGATAATCACATACATAATTTCTCTTAAATTTTCTACTTACAAAACTATTAACATTAATGTTGAAAAGGGCGTGATTTTCCATTCAAAGAACAATTTTGATACATTAAAGCTAAGTTTCTCATGTTGGTTAATCATTTCTATATTAGCTTCCCTATTCTTATGTAGAGAAAACCCTCATTTACATAGACTAATATGAATCCACGCATACACATTGATATACACATGGCACCTGACATGCACTGAACATATTCACTTCATGTGTCAAATTTTTCGGCAGCTACTCAATAAGAAAAAGAAACTCCGGCAATATTAGTCGTCATCATCCATCAACATTGAATACGGTCTCGAAACTTTGTTGCTTATTAAAGGTTGTCATTTTGAAGATTAGTTAATTAAGATCGTGCTGATCGAACTTTTCTTTAGGATGCATGTGTTCACACACCCATGTAGAAACAAGAAAAGATCAAAGAATGATTTTAAACAATTATTCTTCTATTAGTTCACCTTTGAGGCTCCAATTTTTATCTCTCAGCACCATAAAAGACCCACCACTGGGCTGTTACTTCAACTTGAAATTTTTGTCCCACACAAAGACTTTCCTTCCGTTTTTCCTTTTCTCCGTTCTTTTGTTTTATATCACAGGAAAAGAAACTGACACAAGTTTCTATTTGATTGCACATAGTTTTACCCCTAAGTAACATGGATCGCCCAACACAATCCCTCAAACTTATCTAGTCCTAATTACAGTATCTCTCCCTGGGAAGCACACTGTTCCAGAAAGTATGACATAGTTATTTTCTTGATAAGATTCTTTGACAAAGATTCTTGCCTATTCTTCTAAAAGAGTGTTCTCTTTTTCTGAAATATAACAAAAGGTGAAAGTGAATGCATGATTTGCAAAAAAAAAAAGGATGATCAATATCTATATTTCAATCATAGAACAGAATTAGCCCCTGCTTGGTGGAGATTAAAAGTTGACAAAAATCTCAAGTTAAAGTCAAATATTAATTTTAACACATATTTCATGGGAGCCACGACTTTTCAACCACACATTTCATCAACTTTTATCAAAATCTATTAAAAATCTGATTTTAATCTATACCAACAGGGGCTTAAGTGGATGCACCAGTAAAATTCCGATTTTGAAACAAATTATAAAGTGTCTAACTAAACTTGGGGAAAAAATTGTGTAGTATCATAATAGGAACACTGTAAAACCACCACCACCACCCAAAAAAAAATGAAAGAAAGAAAGAGAGAAAGATAAAAAGCCTTATCCCATAATACCAGAGGTCAACAATAGAAATCATTCTCTTCCATTCTGCTGTCTTAGAAGTCACTTCCTTAGAATCTCACAATGGTCAGATCAAATTCAGAACCTCGTTTCATGTTCCTCCTATCTTCCTCTTCCCGTGGGCTCTAATCTAAAGGTCAAATTAAGAAAACGCCAGCAGCGAACATTTGAAAACTATCAAATTATTGTTCAAAAGAGTTCAAAAGACAATGAGACCGTCAAGTTCTTTCTTTTCATATATGCCATTTAACAATAGTTACCAATTTTAGCAAGCTTTCAAATTATTAATCAAGATTCAAAATTTATTTTCTCTTCAAACAATAAACTCAGTTGATACCCGTATAATTTGTGACGTGACAACTCAATCCTAGTGTATCACAATATTAAATGCTCAGTGCTTCAATTTTTTAACTGGATTTTATAAGCTGAATCCCAATTCCATTAGGAAGAGAATTGTGCCAAAACACACAGGCGCACAGAAGACCGGCAAGTTATCATAATTATAGCTTGCACTTTTGTACCCCTGCTTGGGCATTGGCATGAACTTGGATTTTCCCTGGGTACTATGTTTACTGCTAAACAAGTGACTTTCATTCAGATTGCTTAGTCAATTGATGGTGTTCTGCTCGTATCATGCTTGACATAAGCCCAAAAACTGTACTTTTGTGTTTGTTGCCGAAGCCATCAGAAACATAGTATACCCGTATAAAAGTAAAACACCCAATTCTTAATCATTGTTTACGTAATTTTCCTCTTGTAAACTCGAATGGTGAAATTAATTTAGATCATTCACCGAAATTCGAATCTCCAATCTATTCAAATAGGATACTAACAACTTCCTTAACCAGGGATCAACACATTACCGAACCTCTTCGATCTACTAAATCAATGACACGGAATCCACTGACTTATACACGAAGATATTTTATACCATCTCAAAAACTCGATCAGGACTAAAAATTCACAGGGCAAAATTTCAAAGTTGCGAAGTACAATCAGTACCTGGACGTTCCCGGATCTTCAGTACTTAGAGGGGCATAGGAGCGATTGGGATTAAGCAACGACGTCGTTGACAGCTCTATCACAGGTCCTCCACCGGAGCTCGACGGCGACGAACCCGACGGAACCCGGACGCTCTTTAACGCGTCCCTATACTTCTTATATAAGATCGTCCTATTCCTCGTCGCCATTGAAAACGAAAAACAAAATTTCACCACAAAAAACGACTTCAATTCAAAATCATTACGATTCAAATGAGATCTGAAGATATGCGGATCAGTGAATTGCTGGTTCCTGGCCGGGTTCGGGAACGGGTTGAATTTCGGGCCGAGTCGATTTTTTAAGTAATTTCAACAATTCTATCGACGGCATGGAACTCTTGACCGGATTTGTGCGTGTTTTGTTAAGTGGGGGTTGGGGTGAGTGTGGGGTGAGATGGGCCCACTTTTAGTCCTACGTGGAACTTTTTATACAAACTTATGAATTATAATTGACTCTGGAAGGCCTAAAACAAACAAGAGCTTAGGGTTTTAATTCTCACTTTCAATGTCTATTTACTAATGAACCATATCGAGTCTTGTAAATACGAAATACCGAGATCAATTAATGCAAGCATGCATAGTACTATCGATTGGCATTGCATTTGTGATTGGGAGAATTTTGAAAATTACACGATGATGTTTAGTGTAGAAGTAATGACCTGATCCGTTTACACATTTTATTGCGCGTTTCAGTGTTTAATACACGACATAATAAACGTCAATAAAAATGATTAACATTACTTTTTCTGTGTAGTGGTTATTCAACATTTTCAATCGATAAAGAATATGTGGGAAGGTAGGCAAAGGATGAAATGGATTCAACTCTTAATTAAGTACCCGTTTGATTATGATTTTTCAAGCCAAAAAATTAATTTTTTAATCGTTACTTAACATAGTCAGACGTCATTTTTAATTCTTCTTTCACGAGTGAAACCCGCTTTTCTTACTAATGGTCAAAAAATTAATTCTCATAATCAGTACCAAACACACCCTAAATATAAATAACTATTCCAAAGGAAATTCGAGAGAGCACTACTTAGAGTACTCATATCGGATGACCAATGGAAAAGGATACTAATCCCTTGTTTGATCACCATTATTTTCAAATCGATACATCTAAAAGTAGACTATAGCTCCATTTGGTACTCATTTTTTTCAAAATGTATTTTTCTCTCTTCTTTTCAACCACAAATTTTTTATTAAAATAATATTACACGTAAATAAAAATATTTTTCTCATTTTTCAACCACGTATATCTCATCATTTTACTATTCTAAAATACATTTTTTTCATTTTAAAAATGAGTCCCAAAACCCTCTATAAAGTTGGGCCGTGGGGAGTGGGGTGGTGCGTGTGTGGAAGACAACTCTTGTCTTTACTTTCGGTGGATTTTGATTGTACGCTGCTCACCCTTTCAGTTTCATCCCAAAATTTTCTTCTTCTTCTTCTTCTTCTTCTTCTTCATTCCTAGCAAATTCCCAAACTACTAACTATAATATCCTAGCAAAGACAAGTGCAGATTTCCAACAAATTTTCAATTTTAATTACAAAAGAAAGGAAGCTATGGATGCTGATTCATGGGCTGCTCGTCTTTCTTCATCCTCCAAGCGCAACTTGTTCAATTCACAATCTAGATCTGGTGAACACATCCCATCATATTTTCCACTTTTTATGTTGTGCAATTTCCATTTAGGATTCTTTAAATTATTAACTGAGCCGTGATAGTGACATAGATTGCATTTTTATGGGTTTTCTGTGTGTTTAGGTCAACATGCACTATATTAACGTTGAAGTTTAATTTATTTCTAGATTTTGGTAAATTCAAGAAAAAACGTTCTTAAAAAGATCGAATTTGTTGTGGGCTATTTTATATGTGTAGTTCGGATGGTATTCTATCTAGGTATATACAAATGAGTGGCTTATGGCAAAGATTGCATTTTGATGGGCTCTCTCCTTTCTTTTCTTTTTTTTTCTTTTTTTTTTTTATGCGTGCTTGGATACTGTAGTGGGAATGAAATGGGATGGTTTTGATGCTGAAATGTTGATGGGATTTGAGGAAATTGACATGGATGATGATATAAGAGAGGAGTATGCATGCCCATTCTGCTCGGAATATTTTGATATCTTGGGACTCTGTTGCCACATCGACGATGAGCATCCTGTTGAGGCTAAAAATGCGGTACAATTCCTTTCAATTATTTCCATTCTAATTGAAGTACAATGAATCTTGATAACATGCTGATCATCCATTCATAGCTTTCTTCTATACCTCAAAAAGAAAAATAAAATTACAGCTTTAGTGAAAAATTACAACTTTTGTACATTACATCAGCATACTAGTCAACATCACAAACCAAACCAAACCAAACCAAACTAAAACCAAACCAAACCAAACCAAACCAAACTGAACTAGACTCAGTGGCTGAGATGAATTGAATTCTGAAGGCAGCGTCATATTTCTCCATGACACTAGGAAAGTGCTTAAAACTCACCTAGCGCCAATTTACATCAAGGGTTCTTTATGAGGTTGGGTTTTACGAATTTTCAGAACTACCTCTAGAGTTTCCGTGTTGCTGGTGCTTATTCTGGGGTGAATTTCCTTTGAAAACCTTTTCGTGAACTTGATGTCAGATCTTTTTGGTTTTTATCGTTTCATGTTAGGGTGCTTCTGTTCGAAGTGATATATGCTAACAGAGGGCTTTTATTTGCAGATTTGTCCAGTTTGTGCTATGAGGGTGGATGTCGACTTGGTTGGTCATATAACCTTGCGTCATGCCAATATCTTTAAGATATCCTTTTCTCTCAGTTTGTATTCTCTGCTATGTTGTGTAATTATACTGTTCCCACTTTTTCTGTTGTTTCTTGATTCTGCATGAGGAAGTTGCTTTATATGGGCTTATTATGCGTCTAGCATGAGATTACATTGGTGCTTTACTGGAAGCACTGGTTATCAGGAAAAAAAAAAATGAATTGACCATTGACATGAACTCTTTCTTTTCCATTTCAAGCATGCATGTTATTTTCAGTCTCTTTTTTCTCCAAAGAAGCTTTAATTAGGAGACCTCGAAATTCTTAGTTTGGGAGCCAATTTGTTGTTAGGTGTTTGGATAAATGTTTTCCAGAATACAATTTTGGTGATTTGAAATGTTGTGCCTGTATGGGAATGTTTTGAAATACTTTACATTGATGTAGTAAAAATGGTACATTCAAGTGCATCATTTTATGCATAAGGTTGTTGGAAAGGGGGACAGAACCTGTGTTCGGGTAAACATCACTAGGAAGTATGGCAGTGATGTCAAGATCAACTTGTTTTTGCTTACAAATGTTTTTGTAACATTTTATTTACTTTTTCTACTATTATGTATGAGAACTTGACCATCTGCCTTGAGTTCCTTGACTAAAGACACGTGCAGCGCAAGAGGAAATCACTTAAAGTTGGTTTGCATTCAAAACTTTCTTTGCTGAGGAGGGAACTGGGAGAAGGAAAACTGCAGTCTCTTTACGGAGGGTCTTCCCATGCAGTTTCTTCATGCAATACAGCTCCAGATCCATTGTTATCTTCATTTATTTCTCCAATCTTTGATGATTTTGGGAGTGCCCCATCGCACTCTTCTGAGTTAGGATCGGTCAACAGAAGTGCAGCCACAAACATTCCAGAAAGGTAATGGATTCCACCTTTATCTTAATTTTGGTTCTGTTTGACTTTTACATACACTTCAAAGTTCACCACGGATTGAATGGAAGTATAATAAGATTACAATAGAAAAGAGTGAATATCCATTTTCCAATTAGGATTCTAAATGCTCCCTATTAAGTTTCTTGCTTTTTCTTGGTGAAGATTATGTTTAATTTGACAGTCCATTGAATGGAAAAGAACATGGCCTATCATGATTAAAGGAAATTATTTGAGCAGCCATTAATATCAGCTGATTTTTTCCTCCCTTTTTGTGCATTGTTATGTTTTCAATTGTAATCGATAAAAGAGGACCTAGATCTTGATTGATATCCATTTTGCGCCAAAATAATATCATTTGTTGACTGAGTTTTAGTTTCAAATTTCTTTGGTTAATGAAGAAAAATGAAAAAGGATAGTCTGAAGAAGAAAGGATAGGGTATTATTTTCCTTAATCCTGAGTGGTTTGACTACTGTGTGTGTGCACTGCTCCTTATTTTCGCCCCCATAAAATGATTTTAGCTGATATGATTTATATTCTTTCGCATGGAAAGAAAATGCACATTCACTGTCTATTATATGCTAAAGAATACAGATTGATTTTACTTAGCCCTCGTTTGGCCCCCATTAAATTAAATTTTTTTTTCTTTCCCCTATTTCCGACCACATTATCTTCCATAAAATAATATTACCTACCAATCGAAACCTTTTTCTTCTTTTTCAACCACTAATTCTTCAAAAAAAAAAAAAAATACTATTTCATCCATTAAAATTTGAAATAATGGGGGCCAAACAGGGGCTTAATATCGGGCTCCAGAAGACCTCACAAGATTGGCTATTAAAAGAAAGAGGGTATGCAGACCAGTCCATTGATATCATTCAATTATAATTATATTTGATCTAGAATCCTTGTATGGGCTAAGTCTCTTTATCCACCTATATACCCATGCCATTTTATGCTTTCATGTGGTGAGTTGAAATTAGGACTGGCTCTTGAATTTCTAGTTTGCACTCAATATAATAAATAATTGCTTTTATCAGAGGAGATGATCCCCAACTGTTGGTATAGATACTTATCAAGGTTATTCATCATATGAATGAATTTGCATTGGTTGAGCATTGACATGAATCTCCATAGAACCGTTTAGTGAAATTGCAGATCAATATTATATGCCTTTGAATGGTAAAATTAGAACATGGAATGATGAAGACGATTGCTGGACTAGTCTTTGGTTCAATATCTTTTGCCTCTTGATAATTGGACCAGATTGTGGTAGCACCTATACCATTATCTTCAAAATATTGTTGTTGCAAAAGACGAATAACAATCTTAGAAAACTGAATCATGAATGCCCCCGACAAAAATGTACCACTGTACAATTTTTTGTTTTCTTTCTCGATATAATTACCTCCTTTTTCAGAACGTTTCAAGTTTTTGTTGTTAAAATCTTTGCCATTGCATTCTTTTACAGAAACACGCAACCACCACCTTTGTCGATTGAAGACCGGGAGGAGAAGGTCAAGAGATGTGAGTTTGCTCAAGGATTGCTGTTATCCACAATTCTTGTCGATAACTTATAAGGTCCAACTCAGGTGGCGGGGTTATGACTTATGAACTCATATGTTAAGATGTATGTGCCTGTTTTAATAGACAGTGTAAAACAAGTTGTAGGTAACAAGTTTAGTTTATCATTTCAATTCATGCCTTGATTAAAACATGATTATAATTTACTGCTACTTTCAATGATTCGTGTAGGGACAGTGCGGGTGATTTTGTCACAGTGAAGGTAAAGCGCGGATTTGCATTGTTGCCTAGCAAATTCACGTCAAATGAAGTCCGTGTAAGCAAGATATGTATATCATCTACGAAATAGTGTCGATTTTGTCAAATCATTATTGGTGATATTTCACAAGTGAGAAGGGATGGCAACGGGGTTGTGGATTCCCAATTCCGATGGGGAACCGGCTTTAACGGGCTGAGTACTTCCCGACTTAACTGGGGATGGGGAAGGGGTAAAAAAATTTCAAACAACGCATCATATTCAGAAACATTCGGCATATTGGGTTGTCCCAGCCCCGATTGAGCGAGAGGTGGGAAAATCCCAGGTTGGGGGAGTTGGGACGGGAAAATGGAGTCTATGTTCTAAATTTGTTCCATTCCTAAAAGGAAATAAGAAAATGAATAAGGATTACCTGCTTATGATACATGCAAATTGAGAAAAGAAAGGCTACAAAATGTCAAACTTATCCCCGAAAAGAAAGACAATAAATCCTAGTTGACAAACAAAACTAGTGAACTAAGGCCAACTTCTTCCATTACAGAGAGAACCTAATCCCTTGATGAAACAGGAATTCGGGTTCTCATTATCTCTCTCACAACATTCCTAACAAACAGATCGAAGCAAGACGAGCATTGACCTTTCATCAGACTTTTCTGCATAACAGCTGCTCTCTCGAAATGGTTACAGTCTAAGGGGTTATGCACTGGGTAGACTTCATTTTGCCGGTGCTCTAGTCCACATGCAGCTAAAATGGTGTGTGTAGAACTTCTTGCAATATCCTTGAAGGTACTATAGCCTGCATCGACAAAATTATGGATACCAAATTATGGAAAATTAAAATACACACATTTTCGCAAAACTAAGCAAGGCATCATCATAATTGTCGAAGGAAAATCAACCGTTCACTATCAGCAAGAATCCAAAAAAAATTGACAAAACTCGGATTGATAGTGTCAAATTCAATTACCATCACAACGTACTCTTTTTTCATTAGGAAACAAATGGAAGCCCGCCAGACATAAAAACGTCAATGTCCACAACCTCTTCTAAACTTCTAACATCTTATTGTGCAATTCAAAAGAATAATTAAACAAGAACCAGATAGAACAACTCCAGTCGTCTTAAACAGAAACTCTTGATTTTCAGGACAAGATAGAGTATAATCTAAATTGTCACTCTTCACTAGCACAAGAAATTTTCTAGAAATTTACAAAAGTAGTTATAGTTCCTGTTTGTTTCCCATTCTTTTCTCATTAAAATGAAAAATATGACTATTATCCATCACATCAAGCCATCAAATTTGAATTCCTATCTCTTGTATGGAGTCCATAATGACTATATTTTTCATTCTTATTCTTACAAAAATGAAAAACAAACGTCCCCATAATTGGAAATTTAAAGTTAACATACCTAACTCCAGATTACTGGACAAGCTTTTTAAATGGCTTCTAACCATCGATTGCAATTGTTCCTTTTCTACTGGAGAACTATTCATCTCTCTAAGTGGTGGTGCGCCTGTTGGCGATATATGAACATCATTTATCATGTTTGATCTGCTACTCCAATGATGGGGACGCTGATGAACCGATTCCAAACCAAGTGTAGCATTGATTTCAGTGAATTCATCTTCTCCCAATCTGCCAAGAGAGTTATCTGCGGATGTAGAAGCTTGACTGGGAGGCATTTGCACCCTCAAACTGCTAAATCTCGGAGAAGAAGCTTCCCTACTATACAATGAAGCTGTTGTATTGTCACGAACCCTTCCGTGGAGATGCATATTTTGTGGCACCATCATTTCTGGAGCAACTGTACCTTGAGGTGCTAATTCCCTACCCCGACCAACTTGCCAACCGAATAGACTGTTCCCTGAGATTCTGGGGACTCCATTAGTTATATCTGGTTGTCTATTTCTGTTGTTAAGAAGCTGATTGATCTGATGCTGTATTCTGCGTCTTTCAAACACTGTATATGCCCCCGATCCAGAAGCAGGAGAAGCGGCTTGAAAACCATGAAATCTAGGAGGAGGAGAGAAGCCAGTTCCAGGAGTCAATGGGATGTCAGGAATATACAACTCATTAAGATCAAAAGTAGCCCGAAGACTTGCAGCAGGAGAATATCTGATAGACAAATTGTTACTTGCTCCATGACTGGGAGGAGGATTCAAAACTTGTGCATTAGACGAAGCAAGAGCAGCTGGTCTACAAACCTCACAGTACCAATTACCTTCAGGTACTTCATGTCCAAGACCGACACAATAAGTGTGTGCGGGGGAATCACAGAGGTCACACAGTAACATAAGTGCATCATCCCCACCTAGTTGGCACTCAGTACACAGCACGTTCTCGTATGGATCAAGAAAACCCCTAAGCTCTTCCTCAGATGGTTGATAAACCTGCAAATATCAACACTCAATAAAGAAGAAGTATAATTTGAAATATTCATAATAAGGGTATCTTCTTGCCTCCACGAATGTATGAACTAATTTTACACAATACCTGATCACGTGCGGGAACAGGAATCACCACATTCCTTGAATCATGTCCACCATCTGCTTGAGCAGCCTTACTGATACTCGAAAACCTTTGCTTACAGAGGGGGCATCGAGATTCCACTTTTGACCACTCCATGATGCAAGCAAAACAAAAATAATGGCTGCAACAATTTAATGTTCCCCTGATTGTTCTCTTCCCTTCGTCTGATAGACAAATCCCACAAACCTGCTTCCCTGCCTCAATCTTTACGTCCTCTACCTTCTCCTTACCCTTTCTTCCTGGGGAGTTCCTCTGTGGAGTCAGAGTTTCCTTTTCATTCATCTTTGAAGAACATGAAATCCTCAAAGGAGTGGTTAAACTCCCACAAAATTGACTAGCCTCTCTGATCTGTTCTCTCTCTTCCTCAGACATTGTGTATTGATAACCAGATGACCCTGAACCCACCACATCTGTCTCAGAATATACAGCCGATTTCCTTCCCCTTCCAGTTAGTTTCTTTTTCTTTTTATGCACAGTACGAAAATCATCTCTTAACTTCTTAACATAAGGAGATCTTGTTTTTCTTCTCGAGCCTTGATTCTTTTTTGGTTTCTTTCTTTTGGTCTTCTTCAAAACCTTAGCATTCCTTCTCCTCTTGCACATTTTGGCAGTTCCCTTTTGCTTACTCGACCTGCCCACCTTTTTCATTTTGGAAGGCAAATCTTCTTCATCATCTGCATCATCAATCTCATCCAGTGTGAACTCCTCATCTTCTTCAAACTCTGAATCAATGTAATCATCATCATCCTTTTCTTCTCTATATGAAAACTTAGCTTTCTTTCTGGGCTTCTTATAACTTAAATCATCTTCTTCTCCACTTAAAACCTCGATAACATCATCTTCCTCTTCTTTAACTGACACCCTCTTTTTATTTTTTTGCACGGCCTTTCTCCTTTTCAGCTTCAACAACTCCTTTTTCCTTCTTCCTGGAACAACCTTTCGACCTGTTCGTTTTCTAGCCTTATTGACCTTGGCTTTTACCCACTCCTCCTCAAATTGGCCTAAACTCTCATCCGATTCATCCTCATCGAGAGAAGAGCAGTACTCATCCTCTGATTCATCAAACTCCTCATCTATATTCACCTTGTAATCTTCATCTGACTTGTCCGAATCATTATTATCCAATCGAACCCTGGTCCTGGTATTGCGCTTGGATCTAACGTTGCCTCCCTTCACCATCTGTCCATACCCCACAACATCACAAGAAAACATATGAAATGGCATCATATAAAACAAATATGTTGCAACTTGCAAGTAACTAACAGTACTAAAAAGAAGCCGAATCAAGAGATTTAAGCATCCAATCCATAATTTATCTGTTTTCCTTGTTAACCGATTGCAAAACTAAGTTCACCTAGAAAAATTATACATCATAGTTAGGAAAAATTATTGATTTGAAGAAATAAAAAAAGGTAAGGCTGGTTGCTTAGTTTCTACAATACTCTATCTACACTGAATCGATATCATGAAAATTTTGATCTTCTAGACTAAGCTCAATCATATACCAAATCCAGTTAAGCAAAATATAAATAAAAAACTATTCATTTCTAATAATAAAAAAAGAACCAAGACTAACAATAATCAATCCTTCTATAACAGAAATGAAACGCAAAGGAAACCGTATATCCAAATTTATTAACTATACCTTCACTTCGATAATTCCTATAATTCCAGTCACAGCATCAAAACAATTAATCCAATAAAGAACTGAGTTAACTTAGCGATTCGAGGATTGATTTTATATAAATATATATTAGTTATCTTCATTCTAAATCACTTTCATCAGAATTACACTCAAATTTGAATACTGAAAGGGAAAAAGAAAAAAATAAAAAATAAAATCGCCAGAGTATAAGAAAACCCTTATGAAATGAGTAACATACACATACAGAAAAGGTCGTAATAATTTGAAGAGAAACGGAGAGGTCGAATTGATACCTTGTAGAGGAGAAATCGAAGAAATCAATAAAATCCGATTGCACCTGTTCCTCTCTCCCTATACATATGTTGAAGGTAGAGAGACGTTAAATAGTTTAACGAGGACGAAGGTGAAGGTAAATTTTGGAAGCACGGAATTCATTTTCGGATTAAAAAAAGATAAACTAGAAACAAATAAAAATAAAAAATTGAAGTTGGTTGGAATCGACGTGTGTGGGTACGCACCCTCGTCGCCCCGGGTTCGAGGGCAGGGTTCATAATAAATTGCGTCATTGGAGATTTAAACCAAAATCAATTGGGTGATATGTTGTGCAACAAAATTTTTACAAATGTACACTCACATTCTTTCATCGATAGATGATAAAAACAGAAAAAGTAGCCATATAGGTGCTAACTTCTGATCTTTATCTCTCGTACAAAGGAGAATTACTCAAATCAGTATGATCAGGTTAAACTATTGTAATAAATGAGTCTTGTGGGATTCAATTGTTTGGATCAACAATTCGTAATAATCGACCTACTTCACTCGATTATTATAAATTAAAAGAATCTCAAATCCAATCGCCTCTCTTTCTAAATTTCAATATTTTATTTTATATTTTATCGAATAAGTTTTTTAACTTTTTACTTATTTCTTTTCATAAACCATTGTTTGATTTTGATAAAAATTAATAAATGTGCGATTAAAAAGTTAT